CTACTGTGTTTTACAGGTGGAAAAAATAGCCGTTTAACTGTTCCAGAAGAGATTGGTTTAAAGATTGTCACATAATATTTTTTCTACCACACCGGACTCATTAAGGTTGGTATCTCCCATTTCACATATACAAGTTCTCCACTCAGCAAATAGTTCATGGCTCCCAGCTTTCTGTCCAGTAGTCTTCTGAATGCAGCAAACATATGCCAAAAAGTACCTGTTGCCATTGAGTCCGTTTTGAAGCCTAGTGACTCTATAAGAACTGACTCTTTGGTTTCCAAGACTAATCTTTAGGGGAACAGACTGCTACATCTTTCTCCAGCAGTGTGACTGATGGGTTGGCCCTTTTGGTTAGCAGTCCAGTGCTTAATCCACAGCACAACCAGGACTTCCTGAGGGGAACATAGCATCGATTAAAACCAGAGTACCCTTGCACACATGGAGGTTATTTTCTAATTGACAAATCTAATTTTATACTTTTTTCTTGAAATATGAATTGTGCAGATAAACGTGTCTTTTATACCTTTTATTTTTATTTCCTTTTATACCCTTTTAATTGAAATATATGTACAGAAAAATACACAAATCATAAGTTGTGATTAGGTGGTACAAATGGTTAAGTGTTGGTCTTACTAACCAAAAGGGGGGTGGTCCATGAGGCATCTCAGAAATAAGGCCTGGCAATCTGCTGAAAGGTCACAGCCTAGAAAACCCTGTGGGTCACCATGAGTCATAAGTGACAGCAACTGACAGCAATAACAGTTTGTCACAAATTAAACATATCTTTTAACCATCAATCAACAAGGAAGAGGACAGTCCAAGTATCTCAGAAAGGCCTTCCTTGACAACCCTCCTAATCATTATCTCATCCTTCCTCCCCAAAGTTAACCTCTTTCCTGATTTCTAACACCATAGATTGGTTTTGGCTATTTACAAGACTTCCCTAAATGGAACAGTATAGTATTCTTTGGCATCTAGCTGTTTGCTCAAAACTACGTTTGTGAGATTGTTCCATGTATGAAAATATAATTTTTGATAGGAAGAAAATTAAATTAGTCAATGGTACAGACAGTAAAGAGGAAAAGTTTAGGTCAATGTAGTCAGTAATGAGCTTTTAAGGGATTTGAGATATGAATGACAAAAGATTATTGAAGGAAAGAACAGGGTTAAGAGCATTCTAAGCAGAGGGAACACAAGTGGAAGACACTGAGTTGTGAACAAACTTGACAGGTTCTAGAAAGAGAGTTCTTCTGGCAAAGTGGGAGGAGATGAAATTGGAAATGCAGAAGTAAGATCGCAGAGGGTTTTGTGCCTGAAATATTTGGATTTTATTCTAAGTGTAATAGTGTAAGGAAGAGACACCTGTTTGAGCCACTTGTGGAGGAAGGGAAGTTCTATTCATTTACTCAGCAAGAAGCACTATAAAAGTTGCAATATTTTTTGGGAAAACATATTAACATGTTGGGAAGCCAAATCCTCTTTTGTTGTGAGGCTTTCTATTAATTCAGATACAATTTGATCCCAAAATAAGCTTTAGAAGACACTTTAGAAATTAGTCATCCATTCTATCTTTGTTGTTGTTGTTGTTATGTGCCGTCGAGTCAAACCCGACTCATAGCGACCCCTCCTTGGGTTTCCGAGGCAGTATCACTACGAAGTAGGATTGCCCAACCTTCCTTCCGAGGAGTGGCTGGTGGGTTTGAACCGCCAGCCGTCTGGTTAGCAGGCAAGTGTCTTAGCCACTATGCTACTGTCAAGTCAATTCGAACCCATAGTGTCCCCATGTGACAGAGTAGAACTGCCCCGTGGGATGTTCCAAACTGTAATCTTTATGGGAGCAGATTGATAGGTCTTTCTGCTGTGCAGCCACTGGGGAATTTGAAACCGCCAACCGTTGGGTTAGCAGCCCATCGCTTAACTGTTGTGCCACCAGGGTTCCTTACTCATCCATTCTAATGCTCTAAAAATATACCTGTCAAATATTACTTCAATTTCTGAACCTCTTATAGAGGAAATCACTTCTTTTAGAGGAAGCTCAATGCAGTTTTAGATCACTTTAATTTTTAAAAATATTTTCCTGATATTTAATTGAAATACCTGGAGCACTGACATCAGTTCTGCATCCACAGAGACCACATAGTTATCAGTTAGCTCCCATTCAGTACTGTGCAATTGATTTTTATTGATTTGTTTATTTAAGTACAGGACTTTGAATTTATCTGTCATGATTTCTGAAGTTAGATTTGGCCCATGCATAGATGCTATCCAAATCTTTTTGCATTCTGTCATCTGTTGAATAGCTATACCTCTCATCATTGTGCTGTTAGCAAGCTTGATATCAATTAAAAGCAGTATGTTCATTATGAATATTAAGTGTTACTGGCAGTCTGACTTTGTTATTTAAAGCTCCTGTGGGGAATATTTAAATCTGGTTATCTGAAATTGTGGGTAATTGACTTACTTGATCATATTAGTGATTTATATTTGCTAGATAAAATAATAGTTAAGCTTTATATTTAAAAAAATAATTTTTTATTATTTTTGTTGTTGATAATATACACAGCAAAAAATACAGCAGGTCAACAGTTTCTTCATGTAAAATATAGTGACATTGATTATTCTTTGACTTTACAAACCTTCTTACCCTCCTTTTCTGAGTTGTTCCACCTCTGTTAACAAACTCAGCCCTCTATGGTTCCTGTCTAAATTTTCTAGTTGCTGTGGATTTGTTCTTTAATTTTTTTTTTTTTTCCTGAATATACTTAAAGTAGGGAGCTCTGATAGCGTAGTGCCTTAGGCACTTGACTGCCAATCAGAAGGCTGGCTGTTCAAACCCACCAGCCACTCCTCAGAAGGAAGATGGGGCAATCTACTTTCATAGTGATACTGCCTCGGAAACCCAAGGAGGGGTCGCTATGAGTTGGGTCCGGCTGGACGGCACATAACAACAACAACATGATTAAAATAAGGTGCTCTTCTGGTGTAGTGGTTAAGCATTTGACCGGTAACCAAAAGGTTGGTGGTTCAAACCCACCAGCCATTCCATGGAAGAAAGATGAGGTGGACTGCTTCCATAAAGAGTTACAGCCTTGGTGACCAATGGGGGTCGCTATGAGTCCAAATGAACTTGATGGCAGTGAGTTTGGTTTGTGTTTTATACTTGAAGTGTATCTTGTGGTTAAATGGCTAGTTATTTTTCAAAGAGACAAAAATGTCATTTTGATTTTTATTTTCAAACCCCTAAACTATAGACCCACCAGCCACTCCTCGGAAGGAAGGTTGGGCAATCCTACTTCCGTAGTGATACTGCCTTGGAAACCCGAGGAGGGGTCGCTGTGAGTCGAGGCCGACTCAACGGCAAATAACAACAACAACAAACTATAGAAAAATATGAAAAAAATTGAATTGTATACTAGAAGACTGGCGGTTCAAACCCATCAGCCACTCCTCAGAAGGAAGGCTGGGCAATCTACATCCATAGTGATATTGCCTTGGAAATCCACGGAGGGGAGGAGTCACTATGAGTAGGATCCGACTCGACGGCAATGGGTTTGGGTTTGGGGTTTAAGTGGTTAATTATGCTTTACTCTTATTTTCTCTTAAGATTTGGGGCTATTCTTGTTGATTTTTGCAAAGATTCATTCACTAAGGTACTAGATTGGTGTGGTTAGTGCAAGCGTATTTAGGAAGAAAAGAAGTTAAAACCTAAACTACAGAATGACTTTAGTGGAAAACTTTTCCCAAACTAAATACAGAGACACAAATGTTCTCTTCATGTTGGTGCCAAAGGTAACTCACCCCTTTGTCTACCTTTATGGTGTAATTTGTATAGTTCATAAGGTGAACTGCTGTAGATAGAATTGACTGGACTAATATCTACATAGGGAGCTCTGGTAGCATAGTGGCTAAGACACTTGCCTGCTAACCAGACGGCTGGCGGTTCAAACCCACCAGCCACTCCTCGGAAGGAAGGTTGGGCAATCCTACTTCCGTAGTGATACTGCCTCGGAAACCCAAGGAGGGGTCGCTATGAGTTGGGGCCGACTCGACGGCACATAACAACAACAACAACAACAATATCTACATGTTTCTATCATTTTTATTCTCTTAGAAATAAATCCTTGTGAGAGCAAATTTTTACTACTACTTTGGACATACAGGTTTCCTGCACTATCCAAAAGTAGAGCATTCCTGTGAAATCTTTTGTGAGCCAGAAGGCATAAAGCGAAGAAGCAGTTGCCATTAATTAATATGGAATCTTTCTTTGACTGTTCCCAGACCCCAACAATAACCTATCAAATTATACCAAGTAACACATAAAAACCAAAATAACACTCTCACGTAGTGTTCACAGATACAGTTCAAAGCTATGACGGCTTGAGGATGAGATGCTGAGTGTAGTTCCTGGGTGGTGCTACTCTTCTTGCTACTGGAGGAATGTGCTGCCTCTTTAATGGCTCACTGTAAAACAAATGCTGAATGCTGGTTTCGCTTTTCCCTTTTTTTCATAAAAGCAAAAGTCCTCCTCAGATTTCTTTCCATTAGCCAAAACAGGTGTTAATGTAGCTTTCTTAAAAGCTAGTAAAGCAAACTTTCAAAAAGTGAGGATACCTGTATTGAGCATCATTTAACAGGGAGAGCTACCCTTTCAGGTATATTTCCCAACTAGATAACTATAAAATGAGGAATTTAACACTGTCCTTTCACCTTTGCATTTTACCCTCTTTCTCCTGAAAATTCTCTATATTTCTATTTGGTTTAATGGGTTCACTATTATAGGGACTGTGCTCAGTTAAATCTTGACTTTTTTTTTTCCAGGCTACTTCTTCATAGATATAAACATCATTTTTGACTGTTTAAAAACAAGGAATCACTTAAAATCCTCTCAAACTCCTGATTCCAGAGAATTGATACCATTTCTTTGATCAAGGACTGACTACGTGTGGAAAGTATCCTGGCAATTAGCCTGTTTTTTTCTTCTCTATCTTTGAAGAACAACAATGGAAAAATGGTACTTGATGACTGTAGTGGTCTTAGTAGGACTAACAGTACGGTGGACAGTTTCTCTTAATTCTTATTCAGGTAATATATTTTTACTGTTTAAAAGTTAGGTAAAGATTTCTTTGAATAATTTTTCTTTTTTTTTTTTGTGGGGAGGGTCTTTGTATGATCAAGAAAATACATTTAAACGTCTAATCCCAATGAAACAACATGTATAGGGCTAAATAACAGCTTTGTGCTGTGAGAGAACAAAAATGTATTCTGAGAAGATGACAAATTGAGACACAATTATGTATTGGCAGTGAAGAGAGAAAGGAGATAGTACTTCAAGGGAGAAGCAGACTCAAAGAAGGCTTTTTTGCCTTTGGTGAAAACAAAAACAAAAACAAACAAACCCGTTGTCATAGAGTTGTTGTAATACTAGATTAGATTGAAATGAAGAGAGAATTGGAGAAGAAGAAATCAGGTATACTATGGGAGTGGGATGGGATAGATAGTGTATGGTCCAGGAGACTGGGAAGATGGGATTAAATTGAACACTGCAAGTATTTATTTCTTACTTCTTATATTCCAGGCAGGAGCCCCAGTAGTGTAGTGGTTAAAGTGTATGGCTGCTAGTGGAAAGGTCAGTGATTCAAACCCACCAGTTGCCTCACGGGAGAAAAATGTGGCAGTCTGCTTCCATAAAGATTTACAGCTTTGGAAACCCCACAAGGCACTTCCACTCTGTCCTGGAGGGTTGCTATGATTCAGAATTGACTCAACAGCAATGGGTTTGTTTTTGTTTATATATTCCAGGCACTGTGCTAGATAGTAGGTGAATACCCAATACTTGAGAAACCCACACTTTAATAGGAAAATGGTCATGATACAGTGAAGAAGTATGTATGATGTGTAAACAACAAGGAAAGGTGAATGATCTGGACGTATTAGAGAAGATTGTCCAGAGAAAGTGATGTTCAAGTTCATGTTTGAAGGATGAATTAAAATTTGCTAGGCAAATAAAATGGGGGAATGTGTCTTAGACAGCAGGAACATGTGCAAATACATAGTGGCATCAGAGGACATGGCTATTATAAATATTTAGTATTGGAGTAGCATAAAAAGAAGAACAGAAATGAGGGAGAGAGTGGCTAGAGATTTGGCTTTATAATTAGCTACCAAGTTTTTGCTTGAGTTTTAGGAAAATGTCTGTTTTACAGTAGAGAAAAAAATTGTAGGAAAAAGAGATTGGAGGTAAAGAGACAAATTAGGAGACAATAATAATAATGGAAGTACTCATAGCGACCCCTCCTTGGGTTTCTGAGGCGGTATCTCTGTGGAAGTAGATTGCCCAACCTTTCGTCCAAGGAGTAGCTGGTGGGTTTGAACTGCCAGCCTTCTAGTTAGTCGTTGAATGCCTTAGGCACTACACCACCAGAGCTCCCAAATAGAAGTAAGAGCTATTGTATTTTCTTTAATGCTCACCACAACCATTGAAGGTAGGTAATATCTAATTTACAAATGGGAAATGAGACAGCCCTTAAGTGGCAACTGGGATTAAAATTTGACTTAAAAGTCTTTGTTTTTATGACTCTGCTTTGTGGCTTTTGAGAAAGAAGAGAATCTGGACTAAGGGAATTATATGATGGAGACGTGGATTTAAGGAATGTTGAGGAAGTAAAACCATTTATAAGTAGCAGTAGCCTAAAGTTCAAATCTTAGTTTTTTCACCAGATTTTAGGGAAAGTTAACTTAATCTCCCTGAGTCTCAGGTAACTCTTTTATAAAGCAGGAATATTAACACATTTTAACAAGCTACTTGTGAGGATTAATTGAGATAATTTATATGGGTTATGTTTTCTTTTTAATTGTAGTTGGGTGCGATCAAGTTGGTTCCATCTCATGAAGACCCTGTGTAAAACAGAATGAACCCTACCAGTCTTGTGCCATTCTCACATTGCTGTGCTTGAGCCCATCAGTGTAGCCACTGTGTCAGTCCATCTCATTAAAGGTTTTTCCCTTTTTCGCTGACCTGCTTTTCTAAGCATATCCTTCTCCAGGGATATGTCCCTTTTGATAACACGACCAAAGTAGGAGAGACAAAGTCTGGCCATTCTTGCTTTCTTGTAAGGAGTGTTCCAGTTGTACTTCTTCGAAGACAGATTTGTTTGTTCTTCTGGCAGATGTCAGGTGGATCTTGGACGAAAGCAAAGAATACCAGAAAGATATTGTTTCACCAACACCATGATTCAAATGCACCAGTTTTTCTTTGGTCTTCCTTACTCATTATCCAGCTTTCAGATGCATATGAGGCAACTGAAAGTACCATGGCATGGGTCAGGTGCACCTTAGTCCTCAAAGTGGCATCTTTGCTCTTTAACACTTTAAGGAGGTCTTTTGCAGCAGGTTTGCGCAGTGCAATATATCATTTGATTTCTTGACTGATACTTCCATAGGTGTTAACTGCGGATCCAAGTAAAGTGAAATCTTTGACAATTTCAATCTTTTCTCTGTTTGTTATGATACTACTTATTGGTCCAGTTGTGAGGATTTTTGTTTTCTTTATGTTGAGATGTAAACCATACTAAAGGCTGTAGTCTTTGATCTTCATCAGTAAGTGCTTCAAGTCATCTTCACTTCAGCAAGCATGGTTGTGCCATCTGTATATCACAGCTTGTTAATGAGTCTTCCTCTAATCCTGTTGCTGAGTTCTTCTTGATATAGTCCAGTTTCTTGGATTATTTGCTCAGCATGTAGATTTAAGTATGGTGAAAGGCTATAACCCCAATGCACACCCTTCCTGATTTTAAACAGAGCAGTATCCCCTTGTTCTATTTGAACCACAGGTTCTTGGTCTATGTACAGGTTCCTCATGAGCTAAATTTAGTGTTCGGGAATTCCCATTCTTCGCAATATTGTCTATAATTTCTTATAATACACACAGTGGAATGCCTTTGCATAGTCAGTAACATCTTTCTGGTATTCTACTTTCAGTGAAGGTCCATATGACATCAGCAATGATTTCCTTTTTTCCACATCCTCTTGTGAATCTGGCTTGAATTTCTGGAAGTTTCATTTTCAGTATATTACTGTAACCATTTTTGAATTATCTTCAGCAGAATTTTACTTACATGTGATATCAATAATATTATTTGATAATTTTTACATTCTGTTGGATCACCTTTGTTTGGAATGGGCACAAATATGAATCTCTTCCTATCAGTTGGCCAGGTAGCTGTCTTCTGAATTTCTTGGTATAGATGAGTAAGCGCCTCTAGTGCTGCATCTGTTCGTTGAAACATCTCAGTGGGTAGTCTGTCAGTTTCTGGAGCCTTGTTTTTCACCAATTCCTTCGATGCAGTTTGGACTTCTTTTCTCAGTGCCTGTGGTTCTTGATCATATACTACCTCCTGAATAGTTGAACATCAACCAATTCTTTTTGGAACAGTGACTCTGTGTATTCCTTCCATCTTTGATACTTCTTGCATCGTTCAGTGTTTTGCCCATAGAATCCTTCAGTATTGCAACTCAAGGCTTGAATTTTTTTCTTCAGTTCTTTCAGCTTGAGAAATGCTGAATGTGTTCTTCCCTTTTGGTTTTCTAATTCCAGGTCTTTGCACATTTCATTATAATACTTTATCTTCTTGAGCTGCTCTTTGAAATATTTTGTTCATCTCTTTTATCTCATCATTTCTTCCGTTTGCTTTAGCTACTCTCTGTTCAAGAACAAGTTTCAGAGTCTAGTCTGACATCCATTTTCTTCTTTTCTTCCTCTCCTATCTTTGTAATGACTGTTTGCTCTCTTCGTGTTTGGTGCTCTTGATATCTCCCACAACTCATCTAGTTTTCGGTCAATGCATCAAATACATTCTTCAGATGATCTCTAAATTCAGGTTGATATAAACAAGGTCATATTTTGGCTCTCATTGACTTGTTTTAATTTTTTTCAGCTTCAACTTGAACTTGCCTGTGAGCAATTGGTGGTCTGTTCCACAGTCTGCTCCTGGCCTTGTTTTGGCAGAAAATATTGAGTTTTCTGTAGCCTCTTTCCACAGACGTAGTTGATACGATTCCTGTGTATTTCATCTGGCGAGGTCCACATGTATAGCAGCCATTTATGTTGTTGAAAAAAGGTATTTGCAATGAATAAGTTCTTGGTCTTGCAAAATTCTATCAAGCAATCTCTGGCATTATTTCTTTCACCAAGGCCATATTTTCCCATGACTAAAGATTCTTCGTTTCCAACTTCTGCATTCCAATCACCGGTAGTCATCAATACATCTTGATTGCATGTTTGGTCAATTTTAGACTGCGGAAGTTGGTAAAAATCTTCAATTTATTCATCTTTTTCTTTGGTGGTTGGTGCATAAATTTGAATAATAGTTTTATTAACTGGTCTTCCTGGTAAGCATATGAATATTATCCTATCACTGACAGCATTGTACTTTATGAGATCTTGAAACATTCTTTGTGATGATGAATGTGATGTCATGCCTCTTCAGTGTGTTGTTCCTGGCATAGTTAGATGATGTGATTATCTGATTCACAATGGCCAGTACCAGTCCATTTCAGCTCAATAATGCCTAGGATATCGATCTTTATGTGTTCCATTTCATTTTTGACAACTTCTAATTTTCTTAGATTCATTCTTTGTACATTCCACATTCCAGTTATTAATGGATGTTTGCAACTGTTTCTTCCCATTTGACACATGCCCCATCAGAAAATGAAAAGTCCTAAAAGCGTTGCTCCATCCATGTCAGTAAGATCGACTTAACTTTGAGGAGGCAGCTCCTTCCCAGTTATATTTTAAGTGCCCTCTGACTTGAGTGGCTCATCTTCCAGCACTATATCAGACGATGTTTCAGGGTTGTTAATAAAGTTTTCTTGTAATATATCAGACAGTGTTTCACTACTGTTCATAAGGTTTTCACTGGCCATTTTCTGAAAAGTAGATGACCACTTTCTTCTTCCCAGTCTTTCTTAGTCACCATGGGTGACCTGCAGTTACGTGAAATACTGGTGGCATAGGCTCCAGCCTTATAGCAACACGCAAGCTATCACAGTATGACAAACTGACAGATGAGTGGTGGTCCTTA